ACAATGCCCAGCTATTTGTTATTGTTGGTTTGTTTAGAAGGCCCAGGCCAGGTTCGAACACACTAGCCCTGGTGAACCTGGCAGGAGCCCTAACCACTCAGCTACAAATTGTCCACTATCTCAATGATCTTAACCAGTTGTGATCATCCTCTATTGTATTTTTTTTTTTTTTTGAGACAAAGTCTTACTCTGTCACCCTGGGAAGAGTGCTGTGGTATCATAGCTCACAACAACCTCAAATTCTTGGACTCAAGCAATCCTCCTGCCTCAGCCTCCAGAGTAGCTAGGACTGCAGGTACCCATCACTATGCCCAGCTAATTCTGTGTTTTGTTTTATTTTGTTTTGTTTTTAGAGAGACAGAGTCTCACTTTATCACCCTCGGTAGAGTGCAGTGATGTCACAGCTCACAGCAACCTCCAGCTCTTGGGCTCAGGCGATTACTCTTGCCTCAGCCTCCCGAGTATCTGGGACTATAGGCGTCTGCCACAACACCCAGCTATATTTTTGTTACAGTTTGGTTGGGGCAAGGTTTGAACCCACCACCCTCGGTATATGGGGCTATCACCCTACTCACTGAGCCACAGGTGTTGCCCAATGTTTTTTTTTTTCCTTTTTGCAGTTTTTGGCCAGCGCTGGGTTTGAACCCGCCACTTCCAGCATATGGGGTCGGCGCCCCACTCTTTTGAGCCACAGGCGCTGCCCAATAGTTTTTTATTTTTAGTAGAGACAAGGTCTCACCCTTGGTCAGGCTAGTCTTGAGCTCCTGAGCTCAAGGGATCCTTCTGCCTCATCCTCCCATAGTGCTAGGATTACAGGTGTGAGCCACATGCCCAGCCCATCCTCCATTTTAAGGAAAAGAGACAAAGGGGTGGTGCCTGTGGCTCAAAGGAGTAGCACGCTGGCCCCATATGCCAGAGGTAGCGGGTTCAAACTAGCCCCGGCCAAAAAATGCAAAAAAAAAAAAGAAAGAAAGAAAGAAAGAAAAGGAAAGAGACAAAGAAGCTAGGCATGGTGGCCCTGTCTCTACTAAAAATAGAAAAATTAGCCAGGCATTGTGGCAGAGGTCTATAGTCTCAACCACCCATGAGGCTGAGGCAAGAGAATCACTTGAGCCCAGGAGTTTGAGGTTGCTATGAGCTATGATGATACCAAGACACTCTATCCAGGGAAATAGAGTGAGACTTGTCTCAAAAAAGAAAAAAGAGAGGCCGAGCATGTCTCTTTGGCTCACGTCTGTAATCCTAGCACTCTGGGAGGCTGAGGCAGGCGGATTTCCTGAGCTCACAGGTTTGAGACCAGCCTGGGCCAGAGCAAGACCTAGTCTTTTTTTTTTTTTTTTGAGACAGAGTCTCAAGCTGTCCCCCTGGGTAGAGTGCTATGGCTTCACTGCTCACAGCAACC